ATCAATACCCGGGAATTCAGTCGACGAGAACGTTATTTCCATCAGTAGGTCTGTGATGAAGTTAGACGATAACTGATTACCTTAGATACCACACAATGCAAATATACGTTCACGCTTCGTCCCTATAGACTTCTGGTTTTATTGACTTACAGATCATTGCATAAAAAGAATGTGGGGGGGGGGATTTTTCCTATTCCGCGTGTCCTAAGCCTCTAGGTTGATGAACATCTGTGATCCGGTAAACTCACCGGTATATTATGAGTCTGCTGTAAGACTGTCGTAACGTTAAATACATTTTTGTATATGCTCGTTTATTCTCTTGTATCGAATTTGTTTAGGATATTTGTGTATTTCGCTGTTATCATGTCTAAGCACAGTTAAAGTTATAAGGACCATTACCCTTCACCCACCAATCCATAACGGATAGAACTCCCGCATGGTAACAAGGAATCGATGCCGCGCGAACTTAATACGTATGTTTATTGGCGATTTCTCAGGGCCCCACGAAACCTGAAACTGGTTATTATTTAACGTAGGGACCTGACTGAGCCCAAAAGTTTGAATGACACACTGTATAGTTCAAAGTTAGTATATGTTCTGGAAAAAAACATGTGGCAACGCATAAAAGGTGTTACTGTCCAACGAGCCTTCGACGTGAGTCTCGTGAAAACTTTCCCCAACAAAGCTCTCAAAACATATTCAGGCAGTTTTCATTTTCGTTCCAAAAACAATACGCCTGATGCCTTTTAGAAGGGGATATTCACATCAAGCCACCGATAAACGCCGGTTGGATGTCAATCATTTTTATCGATCGTATGCTGTGCGGATGTCAAGAAACATTTTTATTGCCGGACAAATGTTAAATTCAACATATGATTCAGTCAGTTTTTCGTCACTCTTCTACAGTGAACGATTAGTGTGCCTTGGAGCATATAAGTGTTCCTGAGATGTGATAAGTTACGAAACATCGTACCGTGTCCTTTTTTATCTATTCAACATCCATCTCAAGAAAATGTAGTCCGTCTTTGAATGCTGCTTCCTTCATCCTATTATCCATTTTACTAACGAAATCAAGAGGACGAAAAGTGGATGCAACATAAGTTCACAAAGACGGTGGAAACAAGTAGTAAGTGCTTTTGTAAAGGTTGGTTCTAAAGTCACTGCCGAACATTCTGTTAGAAGTAAATACCTACTGGTGAATTTCTTGAATAGGTCGCACAGTCTAAGCAGGGCTATAGTCAAAACAGCTAACTTTCAGTCAGTCAGTAACAACGTAGAACTTCGTACGTACGTACATCAGTTCGAGTTGCCATACCACATTAGCACAGAGATACAGTTGTCGATTCAAATCCCGTAGTGGTAGAGGTAGAAGGAGTATAAGCAGTAATCGGAAACATTAGGGTTTGGAAATGTTATTCAAAGAGTATAATCCAGTGAAATAAATTTGGGAAGAGAAAAAAAGCGACATAAAGAATTCAGAAGATTAGAATTTAGGAGAACTCAAAGAGTGGATGCACCTGCTGATGAAACTTCTAAGTTAAGTGAAGCGGTCGACACGCTCAACTACTTCACTCCCTATCATTAGTTCGGGTGTCGATGTAACCCAATCCTGAAGCAACATTTTGCATTTCGAGGGGGAGAATCGCATCCCGAACATGCTTGCATTGTTGCTTAAAGTGGTCAGAAGACTCTGCATTTTGTCAGCGTCTTCACCAAATAAAACTATGTCATCAGCATATTCTAAGTCAACAAGCGAACCTCCCGGTACAAGTTCAACCCCTGGAAATTTAGATGAGGAGAGTGTTATCTCTAAAAGTACGTCGACGACAAAGTTGAACAAGAATGGGGAGAGTAGACAGCCTTGACGAACACCACTTGAGGTAATCAATTCTGATGACAGTTCGCCATAAGCTCTCACTCGACCAGTTGTGTTCGAGTAGAGAGCCTTTATAAGGTTAATGTACTTCATTAGTACTCCTTTCAGTGACAAACACTTTCATAGAACCTCACGATCAACAGAGTCCAATGCCGCCTTAAGGTCGAGAAATACTACCATTGTGGGGCGTTTGAACGTGTGTCTGTGTTCTAGAACCTGACGTAGTGTGAATATCTGGTATATACAACCACATCCAGGTCGAAAACCAGCCTGGTTTCCTCTAATCTGCTCTTCACGAGCTTGATTAGACGTTCAAGTATTATTTAAGCTAATACTTTAGACACTATATTAGTCAAACTGATTCCTCTGGGATTGGCACAAGAGGACTTTTGTCCTTTCTTATAGACTGGCACAATCAGTGATGGAGACCAGTCAGATGGGATTACGTCCAGTTCCAAAATTCTACCTAGGACCTCAGTTAATCTCACTGCTAATACTGGACCATCATCCCTAAAGATCTCAGGAGTGAACCTGTCAGGGCCTGCTGCTCTCCCTCGGTTCAGATTTCCTATGGCTTTTTCAACTTCATAAAGAGTCGGAGGACCTACATTAACTTGCCATTCAGGTTGACTGGAGACCGTGGGAAACCGAAGTGTGGCTGAAGGCCAGTTGAACTGATCCCTAAAGTGTTTTGCCCATCGATCTAATCTCCTGGATTGAGAATGTATATGTCCATCTTTCTCTGAGATTGTTTCGCTAACGGTCAGGTTCCTAATACCGGTTTCCTTAACACGTCTGGACATTTGTCTGCTACTACCTATTGCCACTGCCTTTTCCATTTCTCTTGCTTTCGCTACCCACCACTGTTCACGATCATTGCGTAGACTTCTTGTCAGCTTGCGCTTAAGCTGACTCCGCTCTTCGTTATGTTCAGAGTCAGATGGGATGAGTTTCCGAGCATCTATCAGTGCGGTAGATGCTGCTGAGATCCAGTGTTGCTTCCTAACCTTACGGTTTACCGTACTAGCAAATATCACTGCTGTTTCCACAGCTTTTCGGATATCCTTCCATGCTGCCTCGGGGTGGGCATCACCTACATGACTGCCTAAACGTTTTCCTAGTTGTTGCTGAAATATAGTTCTAGTTTGACTATCATTAAACAGGCCCCTAAGAGGTTTCCTTGCAGCGTCTTTCTTACGTCCAGTAAGACCCAGGCAAATACGCGCTCGCACCAGAGCATGATCTGAATCTAAACATGTGCTCCAGAATGAGCGACAGTCTTCTATCGAGCTGTTAGCGACGTGATCTATTTGGGTCTAACGTTGGGACGAATTAGGGGGTCGCCATATTGAAAGATGTTTTTCCTTATGCTTAAAGTTAGTATTTGCAAGAAACAGGCGGTTATCTGAGCATAGCTGCAACAGACGGTCGCCATTATCTGTTCTTTGAGCCACGACACCATAAGGTCCACCTAGGTGTCTTTCCCTATCGCTTAGTTTACCTACTTGAGCATTAAAGTCACCAGCCACTATTACTACATCAGAGCGCCTAGCTTTTCGGAGGTCGGAAAGCTTTCTGTGAAACTCATCTTTTACATCATCTGAGCTGCAGTCAGTGGGAGAATAGGCAGAGACGACGAAGAGGCAACGACGAGTCTCCCTATCTTTCCGAGTCCTTATTGTTCCGTTTAGTCGGACAGCGCACAAACGACTGTCTACTGGAATCCAGTCTAAGAGAGCTAGTTCTGCCCTAAGACTCAATGCTATACATACGCCGGCGAGGCCACGAGGAGCAGCATCTGGGCTTCCAGATACACGAAGTGTGAATCGAGTTGGTTCTTTGTTTTGACATGGTGAGGTCAAATGAATGACGCTACTCGGATCCTGTATGCGCGTTTCGGAGACGCAGCACACATCGATGGCACGAGATTCTAAAGTCCTAGCTAAGGAAGCCTGCTGTCCTATTTGGCAAAGTGTTCGTACGTTAAAACTTCTACATGTAGTTTAGAGCGTGATTTCAGGAGACCAGGAATAACGTTCCGCGTACTCGAATCGTTTGCCCTAGCGGTGCGAGGTGAAAAAAAGACGTGAGAAGGGTTAGTCGGGGAGATAAGAGAGGTATTAGGTGTAGGAGGGATTTGAATGTGACCAACTTGGTCTCGTGTGCTGTTACGGGTATGAGGGCTGATATCACTTCCCGGCTCCCCACACCGTGGAAGGGTACTTCTTGAGGAACCTGTAAAGGACATAGGATTAATGTCGGCCTTAACGGCGTGGGAGCGTGACCGCAGAGCCCAAGGGACAACTGCTTGAGACCGGTCGCACACGGCCTTTTCGTGGAAGGTTTTTAATGTGTTAGCTCTGTTCTTTAAAGAGCCTTACCGCCGGAGACGGAAATTCGTGAGGTGAGGTGTGACATTTTTAGGGTCGAGCTTTTCTAACCCCACCCCTCCTTGTGGGAAGGCAGCATCGCTGCAGATGCTGGTTGTCCGAGGGAAACACCTTACTGCTGTCACTACAGTCAGCAGCACGACTTCGCCCTCAGACCTTGAGTTGCTGCTTTTAGTCTTACCGTTCTCCAATCGACCTGCCTGACATGGTAGAACCTACAGGAAATATGTTCAAGCCAATATAGCTCGGTTGGGTCATCACGATAGGCAAGCCCGACCACCGCGTCAAGGTAGCAGCTACGGTCGGTCTAACTTTATATATTGCAAACAATTATAGTCTGTTTATAAAATATAAATCAAAACAATTAGTACAAAAACGAAAGATAGTCAATTAAAAAAGGATAATAAACGCACATATACTTTACGGTAGCAGAGACAACGAAATGAATCAGCAACAAGGGTTAACCATGTCTATGCAACTGGTACAATTTCGGGATTAGCAGTTAAATAAAGAGTATCAGAGTAATAATTAATCTTGGATGAAATGATTCCTAATAAATGGACGTTTAGGTCAAATATTATTGGTTGATTCACTCTTTTCGTAAGAAACTGACACATTCTTTTAGTAAAATTTATATGATGTCTCTGTTTAACTTGAAAGTGATTTTTATCAGAGTACGTCTCTAAACATATACAAGATCAAGTGTAATGGTTAGGCGATGTGACTGATATTCAGTGAAAACAAGAAAGCAATGAACAGCTGTTTCGTCTTGGCATGGGACCTATCAGCTACCCAACTAAGGGTTGGATAGGTAACTCATAGCCTCTAGGTCACTGTGTAGACATCTTAGGTCACACATCTAGCATTTGATATAAAGGTCTAATCCACAAGGCAGTGGAGCAACGTTAGGAGATGCAGACCCACGGTAGCCGGTGACCAAAGATTGGTTCATATGCCATTTGTTCCTTTAGGATACTAGTGCAAAGATTAAATAAAAATAATTTTTTGTCGATTTCAATGTACTTGTAATTATCATCTATTGTAGCAACTATCTACACTGTTCGGAGCCTCGGCACTCAACGATTAAACAAAATGTTTATCAAAAATATTATTTCGCATTTCCGCGAAGTAATTTTATTAGCCACAGTAATGATTTTATTCCTTTACAATAATACCAAGTTTTTCTGCATCGTAATTTATGAAAGGCAATGAATAGAGAAAATAGCTATTTAATATCTTATCTCACAACAAAACATGTAGTAGCTTTAGGAGTATCATAAAGGTTCTGAGTGCTTGGATATTACTTACAAAGCATTAAATAAAATAATGACACTAATGTACATTTATTCACGCACTTCTATTGTTTTCAACGTTTGTGACCTCTAATTTACTGACAGAATTCAACAAATCTTCAACATAATTTTCTCTTTCGACAGGATGACCACGTGCCCATTCGAATTCTACAAAACAGTGAGCTGTTTCCCATGACAAAAGCACTTACCTCTAAGAGCATCTTTAGGATTTATATTCATAAAATCGATAAGATATCTTGAGACTAATAGGTATTATGGTAGCGAACATTACCTGCATATTAAATAACCCGTTCGGTTTACGCCATGTGTGCAGTGTACAGCAATTATGCCATCTAAAAACACAAAAATTAGAACATTAATAGCACTCAGATTTATGAGAATATACTCGAAAATGTAGATAAGTAGTTGAATATTCATAACAGCTATGGTAAAATGATAAACAATGATACATTTAACAGGAGTGTTCTAAATCACATGAAATGAAAGAAGCTAGTTTTCAAAGTACACTTAATTATTTGGAACGGAAATGGGGGGAAATTATATCAGACTAGTCGATCAGAAAAGCTACGATATCAGAACTTTGCGAGGTCATTTATCATTTATTTATTAATTTGAACACATAAATATTGGTACAGGAGGACACCAAATATATATGCGCCACACAAAACAATGAGAATTTGCAGAGAAGGAAGAAAAGATAAGGAGCGTAGAAAAACGATAACGAACAGATTAGTGTAAGATAGTGTAATAATAATAATGAGGGAAACAGAAACGTACACTCAGAAGAGATCTTTCAGTTAAGGAAGAAGCAACCACTTTTATGAAGAAAGTAAAAGGTTACAACAGGATCGCCACTGGTTTCTATTCTGAGCCATATCTGATAACGTCTCTACTCGAGAACGTTTAGATAGAACCGAGGTGAAACTGTAGGATCTTGTAAGATAAGTATTCGAGCGAATGTTTCAGGCACGCATTCACACAAATGATCACAGATAGTTCCCAAGGGACCTGTAGATAGATGAGGAAGAATTGATCATGAAATATTTACTCAATAAACTGAAATCCAACACTTGCAACACAACTCAATTAACAGGCAATCCGGTTAACAGGAAAATATTAATACCTTTATAGTTGACAAACGAGGAGCGCCGGGATAAAGCAAAACTTCAGACATTAACTCCTAACAGCGAGACTCAGTCAGTCACAGTAGTGCTGCTCAAAGGTAATCCATAAATTATAGTCTCACCGTAGAATGATAGTCCTGCAATCATTTATATGTGGTGAATGAGGCTTTTCGAAACGTTTGAGTGACGGACTTATTGTAGTCTTTGACAAAACAAAATGGAAGGATAGGCTTTGGCAGGTACGGAAAAGAGGAACAAACCTTAGATGTTATTAGTACCGACAAGTAGGAAAATTTTGAGACAGGATGCAGATATTTTAAAGTCGAAAAAAAGAAACGAAGTAGGATATTATGAGAGACTGAATTTAAACTAAATCAAAACACAAGGACTTATTGCAAATCTAATATATCACAGGAAAACAACAAGTTAAGGTTGCATAACGAAATAACAGCTAACCTGGAGATTGTTTACGTTCCTTGTTAACCATATTGATGAACCTATAAAACTCGATTCTGAATTTAATAAGAACTTGCTGTTCAACAGTTTTCGAATTTGGGATTGTATGTCCTTCCACATATATCTTATGGTAACTTATATTATTATCATGAAGGAACTGGGGAGGTAAATAACGAGGAAAGTTACCTTTGGCGAATAATAGTTTGCATAAGTCAAATCTATGACACACGTCAATTTTTGGTTGTATGATTCAACACAGTTAATAAGGTCACCTAGTGTAAATCTGAACAGTGTTTACTGAAACAAGCACACTCTTACCTTAAATGAAAAGGAATATTGCTGGACTTTTCTGATGGTATAGGTAGTTTTATCGGAAGCAAACGCGTCCCTTTAACCGGGACGCCCAATGAGGTATAATCAAACCAACTAAAAAAACATGTAAGATAAAGATATCGTTAAAATATGAACGATTATAAAACAATCAGTCTTGAAATTTGTGTACAATAGAAGTCTGTTTACTTAAAATACCACGAACTGTTGTAAAATTACTAGACAGACTTAAGTGTTGTCAAATAAGAAGGCAGTTTATAATATAGATTAAGTGAAATTACCGATCAGGCGGGTAGCGCGGCATCTTTGTTAACACTTAGGTTACGTGGCACGGCAGAAGTATATTTTACTCAAAGACGACGGCCGTTTCGTTCAACCGACCTTGAAAGGCCGAACATGGGGCGGTCATTACGTAATTAAATTGCTGTGGGATTGTTTGGATTCCGTTGGGTTTCAGTCTTTAGTTATAAGGATAGGACATGAGGTCTGTCCACTAATATCAATCCTTGCAGTTTTTAACACTGGGTGTCCAATCTCGTTTTGAATATATCAACGGAAGTTGCTGATATTACGCGTTTTGATAACGAATTTCAGAAATTGACTACTTGGTGCGAGAAATAAAACTGCAGATGTAGACGATTTGATCTTGATTTTCTAACTTGCTTCTCAAATGATGAGTCCTAGACGGAAGGAAAAGATAAGACATATTAGTGCCAAAGTCATCGTTCAATATAGTATTCTACGGTAAGATAACGAAAATAAGTTGAGGTGTCTCAGTCTGTCTACATAAGATAGGCAGATAGACCTTCTACCATCTTAGTACCTCGTCATTGGACTCTTTCCAGCATATCTGTTTCATACTCGAAAGAAGAACTCGCTGCTTAAATCCCATATTCCAAATGTAATTGCACGTAAATCGGGTACAATAATTTAAACATTTCGTCATTTAAATACTGGTAAGACCTACAAATACACCCTAACACCCTATAGACTTTTGTAGCAGCAACAGCCTTATAGTGACTGGTGGTTTTGAGATCACTGCTTAATATTACTCCTAAATCTTTATAGTTTTTACTTTGGGTAACACGAATCCACATATTGTGTAGTGATACGAATCATCATGATTATTTTATTGCATCACTACACTATCATTAGGATTTTCTTCTAGTGACTATCTGTCCAACCATGCCACCAATGAGCTAGGATCATCCCGTTATATTATTCTACTTGACTTACTGTGCAAAGGTCTCCGAATCTTTATGTCGTCAGCGAGAAGTAGAGTGGATGACTCTTCCACAGTTGGTGAATCAACTACATGAAGGAAAAGGAGAGGTAAACTGAGCACTGCGCCTTGGAGAACTCCACTTTTTACAGTTCCCCAGGTTGAGAGTTATTTTAACCATTACGTTGTGTCTCCTGTCATGGAGGAGGTCACTTACCCAGTTTATAACCTTGTAACATATTCCAAAAGTTTCCAGTTCTAGTTTAATGCTTGAATGGGAGACTTTATCAAAGGCTTTACATAGATCTATGAAGATCACATCCACAGGAATATTCCAATCTTTTGCCGCAGCCCAATCTTCTCTTGCAATTATCATGTTTGTCAAACATGATAGGTCTCTCCGAAAACCATGTTGTCCCCTGGAAAAACGATTATTCCCTTCAACATGGTTTATAACAGCAATCCAAATGATTTTTTCATTAGGCTTATCAGACAGTATGACTATAGGTTCAGCAAATACATCCAATAGGGCTTTTATAATCATAGGATGAATATCATCAGAACCACTGGACTTATCAGGTTTGAGATACCGAGGTGGTCTTGTAACAGTGCCCTTCTCAATAATTACAGGGTCCAACAACAAGCCGCCACAATAACAGTGAATCTTTTGTCGTTCCTTATTACAGATAGAAAACACTTCACTGAAATATTCCGACAAAGCTACAGATTTTTCGACATAATCTCTTGCCAATATTGACGGATTTTCTCGTACCAAAAAAGATGGAATTCCATCACTTTTCTGAGTTTGCCTTTTCGGGTACGCGAATAACTGTTTCGGAGCATTTTTATAATCACTTACCCATTGTTTTTCATACTACTGTCTAGTCTTACTTACAAACGCTTTACGAGCATTCCTAGTCTTACAGTGACTGGGTCTGTACTGCTCTAAGCCAGTACAGATGAACACATTCCAATATCTTTTCCCACGTCTAAGAAATCTACTGACTTGTTCAGTCATCCATGGTGGACAGTATTTCGATCTACGTGGTACCAGGCATGGTATAAACGAGGAGGAAACTGAACTAAACTTGCCTTTAAATATAGACCATGCTTCTTTAATTGATGAGCTAGTGTCAACTGACCAATCTGCCTTAGCGGCATGCTTTCTTACATCTATGTCTATGGCATTCGGATAATTCTGGAGTAATGGTGAAACCATGCACTTACCAAGTTTATGTCACAGCTACAACGAGTGGCCTTAAACTATCCATCAATGTTCCTAATTCATCAAATTTACTCCATAGACTACGAGCAGTGGCACATAAAAATCTCAGATGTAACAGCCTATTCACACATGCCATGGTAGCGTTCGCTTCCCATACTTGAGAATTCGAACATTCACTAATCAGAGATTTTACTCAACATCATGTCGACGAGTTTCTTATCCAGCATGTGCCGTCTTCCTTTCTATTCCATCTTCAAGAGACATATCACGTCTTACTTGAATATCGGTATCGTCGTGACTACGAGTGTAACCTGACAGATCATGTGCTTTGCCGACCCTAAGATTACCTTAAGGAGTCTTTATGGTCGAGGTTCAAAACTGTCGTCGGTCCTCGTACATATCCTTATCAATTTTTTAACAGGAACTCCTTTAGAGTTGTCCGGTAAGATGCTACGGGTACGTTCCACGAGCTTTTAGAAATAATGCGCGTATCTAGTTTTGCGATCAGGGCGGTTTGACTCCTGCGAATTACTAACAATGATATTCGATGAAATTAAATTTCAGTCACACGAGAGTGGGTAGTATATTTTGCGACTGAGAATGGAAGTTCACCAATGACTTGCCGTCCAGTTTTTATAACTCAGGTCGTCCATGAATTATAATCTCACCGTTATCTCCCCACCATAATATTTGCTGGACAGTAACACTGTGAATGTCTTTATTTTGTGATTTTTTCGATTCAGGAAGTATACAAAAGCAAAGGTTATCACAAGCACCAATTCACTGTACTTTTTGAAACGTGGTTATTTTGATCTCATTAGTTCAACACACGATTGAAGCTGTACCTGTCAACGCCTTCATAAGAAAGTTTGAATAAAGTGAGACTAATGTAAACTTCTTACTGTCCTATCTTCCCAAAAATGAAACTGAAACTTTCTTTAGTGACCTAATCTGGTGACTATTTGATGAGTACGTTACTTTTGGCGTTTAGCGCGCTTCTTGAACCTACTGGCACAGATTGATGCTATTGGATTTCGACTTCTCTACACATCATCAGTTACAACCGTTCGAGGGGATATTTAATAACTGAGTGAAGTGCGTTTTTAGTGGTCACTCTAAGAGGAGCTTTCAAGTAAAATTCATGGTATGGCTGTTCTCATCATTCCCTTGTTTTTATACTGGAATTTCAACTTTTAGTGTTAATAATTGTTTTGGATATGCTAAATACATATATTCATGTAGATCCAAATCTTCATTTTTTGTGGAAATTTTAGGGTTTTTGTGTGATTTCCACAAACGTTTCTATGGCGGCTTCTCTAGATTTTCTTAATAATTGGAGGCTTTTGATATGTCAATATACATATTGTCATATCCTGTTAACGTTCCAGTGTAGGTTCAGTAAAAGCTTCTCCTTGGTCCGTTTTAGGAATGTCGTCTGCAGCCCTAGAAGTTTATTTATACGCTTCAACCAGATCGATTTTTTAGAAAACCCTCGTACTTTTTGCAATGGCTGTTTGGTCGTGGATGTGTGACAAAGGGTAACGATAGGAAGTGGTTTTCGCTTTGAATTGCCGATAATCACTAGTCGGACGCCAATCGTTGCTGCCCATTGGCTGCCTGCACCTTTTAGGGAAGCTTAGACAAGGAGAAATGTCTAAGCTGGCCTTCATCGAAGGTCCGTCGATCAATGACCTCTCGCATTCGTAGCAACATTTCTGTTAGTGAGCCATGTTGCAGTTCACTGTTGTGAAAGAGTTGGTCTAACCTTTGTCGGTCGGTTAGGTCTCCAAATTTAGGGGTAGCTTTTGTTAAAGTTTCGTAAGGTTCCTATACATCACTAGTAAACATACTAGGTGTGACGTATCTGTTAAAATTGCGCGGCAGTCTTCAGTACAGCGAGGAATTGCATACATGGGTCTACAACGCCGAGCTTGTGGAAGTCAGCTTCTGCGTAGCAGAACCAGGCTACACTGTTATCAGGCCGGAATGGCATGAGTTGAGAGATGGAGGGTGGGACGTATGAGTCTTAATGTTTAACAATTTGGGTGTCTGTCTCATCATAATGAGGATAAAATATATAAATGGGTGAGAAAAGGTCAGAGGATGCAAAAATCATATCAGGACATGTAGAAACGAAAATTAAAAAGGATATATAATGTTAGGACAAGGAGCAGACCCACAGTTTATCCTTTGGTGTCTTAAAGCACGTTGGGCTCACCATCTAATATGCCACAGATGTTAAGAGTTCGACAACGCCTTTACCCTAACACCTTTTTATTCGAAGGATACCGACCCGGCCAAATTAAAATTCAAGAATGAATGAGTTCAAAGATATATTTGGTAGGTTGTCTTTGAGTTGAGTATTGTTTGATCTAAGCTGGCTAGTAGTTGCAAGTGATACGTAGCACGGCGTACCCACCCGTGATTTGATGCGGACACGACCGCACGTTTTCAGCTACGGTGTCTCCAGTCAAGCTAACTAGGTATTTATTAATGTTGAAGACTTATAATACATTTTCTCGGGATTTATTTACCACTACAACGTACGCTCAAAATCTATCAATTATAAATGAGTTTTAGAATTCACTAGGACCAGCGCAATTTGGTAGCTGGATTACCATCTGTGAACACCCAAGTAATTGGAAGATCATCAGATTTGGACTGCTGATCACAAAGAGATTATGTGTTGAACTTAATTTTTCAGTGCATTAAGGTTTATGAAATGTTCAAAAGTTTATATACCCTTTCAAGTCATGGAATTCCTAAAGAAAAGTTTAAGACCCACCATATGTGCACCCCAGGTTTCGACCACAAGTTTTTTTACTCTTGATTCATTAACTGATCTTGATCGCTCTTATTATTGAATTTATTTACATCTCATTACCTTATCGAGTTGTTGAGTCACTCTTTCCTCTTGTTCTTATTTCTTCCAGGTTCGTTCTACCTTCT